CCACCGCCCAGTTGAGCGCAACTCAGTGTGCGCACGCGTCTCTTGACTGCAGGCAAGTGAGTGGAAGAGAGCATTATCTCGCTGTAAGTTGGGGAGATCGCTGCGGACGCCCGAAGCTGCTTCAACACGATTAACAATGACAGATGATGAGGTACGTTATCGAAAAGCTGGCTGTTTTCATTGTCTTGTTTTATCCTTGCCGTATCGTCTGCTTTTTCAATGTACACATAGTGCTGAGCTATAATATTGTTCGGTGTCGTTTCCATTTCGGCCGAATTACACCCTCCCTAGCTGAATAACGTCAAATTCCTGCATGGGCGTGTCCTCACTTCTCAAATTGGACTGGGTACAAACATTGCTGTGTTATTTTATTTACGAACGTGATAATAAATCACCTACAGTTGAGAGCGAGAAGGCCAGAACTAATATGTACCCAAAGTAGATTTGATTTCTCATGAAATTGTAACTGAAATTATGAAATGTGTTTTCGATTCGAAAATATTACTTAGATACAGTTGTAACGAGTATAACCGTGCAAGATGAACCGGCAACAGTAGTTTATGTACTGCACCACATTTTGTCCTACGAAAAATGGGGGTTATAGGGTTTTATGGGTGGGGAAATAGGATAGGCAGTGGAATATACTTTAATAACTGCTATGTGCATTTTCATTTCATTCTATTTAGAAATATTGTTGGTTTATATCTGTAGATTTTTTAACCCGTATTATCGTTTGAAGTATTGTGGAAAAACCCGATTATCCAATTGCAGGTTTCTTGAAATTCCTGAAAAATAGAAATGGTGGTTAGGAGGTCGTCTACTTCAACTTACCCGAGGTCCGACTTACCATTCTGGAGTTAGATTAATATAGTCCGTGGCGCGAAGCGCCGCGCACACCTTCTATTTACACGCTGAACAACTTACTCCCAGTGAAAAAACTCGACTACATTTTCTCACTTCACACTTACTTCGAAAAATATCCTTCCCATCCTATCCTATTTTCCCATCCCTAGAAACCCTATAAGCACCGTTTCCGTAGGACAAAATGCTGTGACTAGGGGTATATGAGGTGCACTATATAAACTACTTTTGTCAATAATTCCATGATAGTTTAATTACCGGCTATAGAAAGAGCTTCCTTGTGGCCGCTTTTAAAAATGTACGCTGTCAAAAATGACTACTTAATTGGCATGCAACTTTCCACTGCCTTTTAATCCCTCTGAAACTTTAACTAAAGTATATAGAAAGCATACATAAAAAATATGTTTTCTTAGATGCCTGTAGTAGCAAATTACGCCTTAAAATTTGCCACTCGAGAAAAATGTACTTTTGTGTTTTTAAAACCTAAATTCCCGTACTAAATCCGCTGAATTCCTGCTTTTACATGTGCATTCAGTTCACATACTACAGGTCATATATTCTCCGTGTAAGAAAAAGCTCAGACTTATATTCGCTATAAAGAAGAAGCAGAAATGCAGAAGTCGCCGGCTACTAAGCCCACCTCGGGCCCAGACCAAATTGGGCTTCATAAGCGGCGGGCGCAGTAACCGGAGAGTCCTAGTTCTTGATTAGCAAACGC